ACTGTCTCAAATGTTCAAATACAAAATGCAAGAGTGGGACGAATATTCCGGTACAGCCGCTCTCACGTGTCCACCGGCTTTTATGTATAGCCGACGTGTCAACATATTTTATGCTAAAATCATTAAATTCAAAATAAAATTAGGGAGATGTGGTTTACTATTCCAATTTTTTATAAAATTTGAAAACTAATATTTGTCTTAATTTTTTTGAAAAATAACTTTGTTGTTGAATAAAAAGACAATAATATCATGATAAGTTTGACAGTTTACAATTAAAAATGCATTTTCCTTTTCAAATTTCGAAAACTGAAAAATAATGTTCCAAATTAACCTGAATTTTAATAAATATATATTTAAGATATATATTGTGATGTGTCTGTTTTTTTTTAAACTATATATACGTATTTACCGAAATATATTCTTAACTTTATCATCATTGCCATGGTTATATTAGAAAAGTACACTTTATTATATTTGGCTTTCATTTGGTTACATATTCTATGCATGACAATTTTAAATGAAGTTGTTTTGCACTATACTTTTCTTTTTATTACGTAAGGTTGCGTCTAACTTTATACAATTACTTGTAAGATATCTTCAAGAAATCAGCACGGTGATAAAAGAGTTTTTTGATATATATATCATGGAATTAAATAACAAAACTTATAGTTTTTTTGGAGAAAACTGTCATTTAAATACCGAACTCTTCGGTTTGAGGCAAAACAAATACAAACTTGTTAATTAGTCATAAAAATCACAAATTTGTGTTGACTCGGCCAAATTAGGTATACAATTAGTCAACTTTAACAGTTTTTTAGAAAACGTTAACTCCGTTTATTGTAACTGTTAAGTCTCAAAACACCGTCGTTGTGAGATTATGAAAATGGCCATTTAAATACCAAACTCTCCGTTTTGCGCCAAAACAAATACTAACTTCTTAATGAGTCATAAAATATACAAACTTATGTTGACTTTGCCAAATTAGGTATAATATTAGGTATATACCCTCTAAGATCAGAGTCCAAATCCGGAGACATAGAAAGACGAGACCCTCTAAGATTGTAGCATGAGTAACATAATCACTCTGTTTGGGATCGTTAGTTTCCTTTTACTTTACCTCAAAGTACTCACGGGATGTTAGAAATAATCTCGAATGCAACTAAAAATTGCATAATTTATTATGTATTTTTTATAATAAAAAAAAAAGAGATAGCAAGATTTTTTATAAAAAAGAAAAGAGAATCACAATTGTCAGGATTAGTGGCCTAGTCTCCCGAAAGGTCATGCTCGGATATCGCTCTAATGCAGCTCGGCCCTAAGGAGCAGGTTCGCCTCCGGCTCTACCCCACAAAATGATGAGAACTTCTCAATAGTCTCAGAGGGGACAAGTCGGTTGACTCAGGCCATATATCTCCATGAGAGTTCTCATACTAACTCGTCAGGTCTCCAGACTTAGGTTATCGCAATCTCGTGTCCTCCTAGATTTCCAGACTCAGGCTACGGTCTTCAGGGATCTCGTACCCTAACAAGTTGTTAGACTCATGCTAAAACCTTGGAGGGTATCGTCTCTCAATGTATCCTGATCCGGCTCCGATCTACTGTTGACTAATATTATACCTAATTTGACCAAGTCAACATAAGTTTCCGGACTAACTCGTCAGGTCTCCAAACTTAGGTTATCGTAATCTCGTGCCCTCCTAGATTTCCAGATTCAGGCTACGGTCTTCAGGGATCTCGTGCCCTAACAAGTTGTTGGACTCATGCTAAAACCTTGAATGGTCTCGTCTCTCATTGTCTCCGGATCCGAGCTCCGATCTACTGTTGACTAATATTGTATCTAATTTGGCCAAGTCAACATAAGTTTGTGCATTTATGACTCATTAAAAAGTTGGTATTTGTTTTGGCGCAAAACGGAGAGTTTAGTATTTAAATGACCATTTTTCATAATCTCAAAACGACGTTGTTTTGAGACTTATCGGTTACAATAAACGGAGATAATATTTTTTTTTTTTAAATATTAAAGTTGACTAATTGATTGTATACCTAATTTGGCCGAATCAACACAAGTTTGTGATTTTTATGACTCATTAACAAGTTGGTATTTGTTTTGGCTCAAACCGGATAGTTCGGTATTTAAATGACAGTTTTCCCTCTTTTTTAGAATCTTTTAAGAAGATTAATAATAGCATTATATCAAATTTTAAGATTTAAACTTATGTGATATTCTGTTTTCAATTTTTTTACGTCAATTATGTTAAAATGATAATTTTATTTTTATTTAAAAACACACATTAAAATATAATGATGACCATTTTCGTTTTGATTTTTATTACCTAATTAGGGTATTTTGGTAATTTTAGTATAAAAGGTTAATTTTCAAAAGATTTAAAACATGTGTTACTTTTCAAAATACATAAAATTTTGAGAATATTTTTACAAATTTCTTCAT